GGGTGCGGGCTCTGAGACGAGCTAGAGGGCACCGGTGAGGGTGCAGGCTGAGGGATAAGCTGGAGGGTGACTGTGCAGCGCAGGGAGTAGGACAGACCTGGACAACACCAGATACATCTGCGAGGCTTGGGCTGCGGTATAAGGGGAGGAAAGGAGCCGCAGATAGTGCCTAAGGCACCGAGGCAGAAAATAGGCAGCCTCCCGTTTTGATTAAGATCTTTCAATCAAGCAAATAACAACGAGTCATGGCAAGCGAGAAGGTGGGCGGTTGGCCCTTGATCGATGTCGCGGGACCATGAATAGACAGTCCCGGGGAGGCACAACTGTCACAGCCCCACACAGCCCTGGTGTTTGGATATGCAACATATTCAATTTAAGGTGCCATACAAATGTACCAAAAATATGACATATATTGTAGAACATCTTTGTAGCAGGTTTGATTGTTATGAAAGCTTATTTGGGGTGAATGTGTGGCTTAGTTGCAACTTATAGTGTAGTTATAGTAACAAGAGCCTGACACCAGGGCACTTAGATGCCCTACACTCCACCCAAGTTCTGCTTGAATGCCTAGCTGAAGAATTTGTGTCTGGTTTTACAGGAAAGGAAGTTTTACTCCTTTAATTATTCTGTCAGGGTTTTGTTAGAATAGTGTGTGGAGGTGAATGTTCCTATGCTAGAGTATAAGGTATTCATGATACAATTTGAAAACACTATAAAGAAGTAGAAATGTCATACTTAATTGTATTACTCTAAACTTGCTTAGAGTTTCTAGTGTCCAGTGTACTGAACTTCTGGTACACTGATGGTTGTTATGAACAGATGAATAAGAAGTGAATTTACCACCCTTAAAGAAAAGAACATACTATATATGGCTTTCAGCTTTAAATTATTCAGTCTAATACATGTACTTCTCTGAAGTGAAAAAACAGAGGTGGCATATAATATTGTTCACAGAAAAAATAATTGAAAATGTATTGATTTTGCAAGAAGATAAGACAGATATACAATGCATAACAAAATGTTGGTACTTTATCTTCAGAGCCTCAACTTCATTGAAAGGTCTGAAATCAAAGCCAGATAAACTATTCACTCACTGTTCAGACAATGAGTAATGAAAAGTAACTTCACTTGTCCAAGGGACTAAAAAGAGGATTTAGTTCTTAGTTATGTATTTGGCAGCAGTGGACTGGGGCAGAAGGCCAGAATTCCCTATATGAATTACTAATAGGCTTAATAAGAATTTTACAGTGCACATTTTTTTTATGTATTATATTTAATAAATGGTAGTACAGATATTCAGATATTCCAGAGGTTAGGGAGAAGTTAGATTTTGTTAAAAATGGCTACCCAATCTAAATTAGTTTGCCCATTTGTGGACCTTACACTTAGATCCCCAGTTAGGTTAACCTAAGTGTGAACAGTACAGAAGTTCAGGGAAGTTCAAAAAATGGTGAACCCAATCTAATTTCACTCTAAATGGAGATAGTCTAATTTAGATTGGGTACAGTGAGACTGATCTACCTGAACTTCTATACATGTTGCTTGTGCAGCC